TTTTTTTATATTAATTTTCAGTTTAATTTTTTCTTTTGTTGAATTTTAAATAATTAATTAATTATATATGTACATATATATATTTACTTGTATATACATACACAAATTATTTATATAGTTAAATAATTAGTTTTCAGTATTTTCGTATTTGTTGTTGTTTTTTTTTTTTTTTGTTTCATTCATACATAAAATATCTATATATATTAGCTACATATATAGTATATGGGTTGATTTATTTTTATCTTTTTTTAAATTTTTTTCTGGTGTATATACTATATATCTTGTACATATATATGTAGTATATACATTATATTATTTATATATTTTTGTTTATTTTTTTTATTTTTTAAAGAGTCTGAATTTTGTTTACTATGGTCATATTGGTTATTTACTTTTTTTCTCAAATAAGAATTGGGATGATCTTTGTTGTTGTTGTGGTTTTCTTTCAAATGGAGAGTAGGAAAAATTAAAAGGGATTTTCAATTGTAACGGTGTTTTTAAAAGAAATTCGTTTCAGCTCTTCTATGAAGAAAACAATTCTAATTTCTGTAAAGAATCGTAATGGTGACAAATTACAATTTTTTGAAAATTTTTTCAAAAAAATTTCAATTCATTAAAAAAAATACAATTTTTTCAAATTAAAAACAATTAAAATATTATTTAAAAAAAAAATTTTAAAGTTGATGGATTACAGTTTTTGGAAAATATTAAAAAAAAAAAAATTAAATTATTTAAAAAAACTAATTTTTTTTAATTAAAAAATTAAAATATATTGTAAGGGATATGGATTAAAGTTTTTTTAAAAATATTTTGTCAAAAAAATTCAATTCCTAGAAAAAATTTTATTTTTTCCAAATGAAAAAAAAACTTATTTTGCCATATTTTTTAAAATGTGAAACAATTTTGGTTATAAAATAATTTTTATGTTAATTACTGCATGTATTGGTAAATATTTTTTATTAAACTATTTTAAAAAATGAATTCCAAATGTCCCCACATTTTTGGGGATTTTTGTGGGTGAACACTTTTTTACCCCACTTTGGATATAGGAAATGGAATTCTGTTATTGTAGTAGGCATTTTTTCCATTATTTATAAAACTTGCCACAAAAACCAAAATACCCACAAAGTGGGGACATCGTTCAGGGATTTTGGAAAAATAATAGATTTTTTTTATTTCACAGTAATGATATAGGAAAATGAATTTTTTACTATACTTTTCCACTTTTACAAGAAATTCCCTTTAAAATTTCAAAAAAAGAAAAAAATAATTAGGGGAAAAAGTTTGGGCATTTTTTTTTCCAAATTGCAAAAATCAATGAAATTATTAAAAATAATCAATTTTTTTGCAATAGCCCATTACCATAAACAACTCAAGCCCTTTTATGTAAGAATTTTCTAATTTCAAAAAATATAAAAAAAATAAAAATTCCCCATTTTGGGTATTTTTAATTCCATGGGCATTTTGCTTTTTTGTCACAACTGACTAGTTTTCTGATTAAATACAAATTTTATATGTAATAGTATTAAAAAATAATTTATTTTCTCAAAATGACTTTCGAGAAAATAAATTATTAAAAAAAAATATTTAAAAAATCCCAGTTTCCCCATATTTTGAGAATTTTTTTATTTCCAAGAAAGTTTTTTTTTTTTTTTTTTGAATTGGACTGATAAAATATTGTTAACAATGTTCAATTTCCAAAGTCGTAGTTTGAAAAATTGTTTGAAATTAAATTAAGTTCTAAAAATAAAAAAAAACAAAATTCCCACTTTATGGGATTTTTGTTTTTGTAGGGAAATTTTCATTACTTAATTGATTCCAAAAACCAAATTCATTTAATACAGTATTCTCTTAAAGTCCAGGATATGGAAATTTTTAAATCCATTTATCTTGAAAAAAATCCCATGTTTTCCCCATTTCTGAATTTTGGATTTTTTGAATTGGATTGATAAAATATTGTTAACAATGTTCAATTTCCAAAGTCGTAGTTTGAAACATTTTTTGAAATTAAATTAAGTTCAAAAAATAAAAAAAAAAACAAAAACAAATCCCACTTTATGGGATTTTTGTTTTTCTAAGGAAATTTTCATTATTTTATTAATTCCAAAAACCAAATTCATTTAATACAGTATTCTCTTGAATTCCAGGATTGGGAAAATTTTAAATCTATTAATTTAAAAAAAAAAATCCCATGTTTACCTCACATTTTGTGGATTTTGGATTTGTAGGCAACTTTTTTACAATTTAATTGATGAAAGCTAATCAATAAATATCTGCATTCAATTTCATAGTCTGGAAATTTTTTAAATGATTTTTTGTAAACAATTAAAAAAAATTCAAAATGTGCTCACTTTCTGGAATTTTGATTTTTCTATGGAAAATTCTCATAATGTAATACATCCATTGATTTTTTTTAAAGAGGAAAATTGAGAATTCTAATTATGTATAAAAAATTAATTACATATATATAATTACCCAATTTTCCCCACTGTTTGGAATTTTTAGTTTTTAAGGGGATTTTTTTTTTGGCAAATAATAAATTTTTATTTTAATACAGTTAAAATTTAATCATTTTCGTTATCCATTCTGAAAAAAATCAATTACTTTAAAAACACTTTTAAAAATTACCCAATTTTCCCCACTTTTTGGAATTTTTAGTTTTAAAGGGGATTTCTTGTGGCAAATAATTGATTTTTATTTAAATATAGTTCAAATTGTATCATATTCTTTATCCATTCTGAAAAAAATCAATTGTTTGTATTACTTTTAAAAATCCCCAAAAAAAAATTAACCAAATTTCCCCACTTTTTTGGAATTTTTAGTTTTTGAGGGATTTTTTTGGTAAATAATTAATTTTTATTTCTAGTTAAAATTGATCACTTTCCTTATCCAAAAATCAATTGTTTGTATTAATAATCCCCAAAAATGTTTCACCAGATTTTGTAAATTCAGGTTATAAAGGGAATTTTTTTTCTAAATAATTTGAGAAACTTTTTACTATAAAAATCAGATTCGAATTACTGTCTTTATAATAAGAATATTTTAGAATTTTCTTATTATTAAGAAAAAATCCCCAAAAATGATCCCCACATTTACGGATTTTTGTTGGTTTAGAAATTCCCAAATACTTTTCCCAAACTTTAAAAAGTTTAGTTTTTTGGAAATAATGAAACAATCGCCCATTCGATTAGCAATATCGTAAATTAAGACATTTGAATATTTTTTTTATTATTTTTGAAATCCCCATAAATTTCCCCACCTTTTTGCAAATCTTGGTTTTAAAGGGACATTTTTTAAAGTACTGGTTAATTTCAGTACTTTGACTATAGTAACAAAATGTAAGTTCCTATGTCATTTTTGAAGATTTTCAGCAATGTATATTTCCTATATCCTTTTTGAGGATTTTTTGCAATGTTTACTATTTTAAAAAATCCCCAAAAATTTTCCCACTTTTTCGATATTGTTTTTTATGGAAAATTAAATAAAAAATAATACCGAAATATTAATTATTAAAAATGTGAAGCATAGAAAATATTTTTACTTTTTAGTGGAATTTAAAAATTTTTAATATTTTTAATCCCCAAAATGTTCCCCATTTTTTGGGTATTTTTTTTATGATTTTTTTTTTTTTCAAAATACTGAAAAAATGTCTGCTGTTACAACAGCAGCATTACATTGTCTATATCCATAATTGGGGAAATTTTCATATTTCATTATTAAAAAAAAAATCCAAATATTTCCCCATGTTTGGGTATTTTGGTTTTAGAGTAAAAATTTCTTAAACAAATTAATTTCCTAATTGGATTTTTTTCGTATTTTTGTTATATTCATAAAAAAGCCAAACCACTAAAACCAAAATACGCAAAATATGGAAAAAGTTTGAGAATTTTGTTTTGATAATAAATAAAAATTTCCATTCCACCATTACAATTGAATCCCTTCCTCGATGAGGTGCATTTTCTCTCATAATTTCTTCTCTCCCCTATTTTTTGGATTACCGTTTTTTCCTTCCCTCTAAATTTCTTTGCGTATGTTTTTTTTGTTTCCTCTTTTATTTGGAATACAAAATTTCCCATTGAAGAAAGGAGAGTTAAAATCTGACTCTCTAATAATAATAGGAATAATACCAGTCCCTAATATGGAATTATTGAGATCTTAAAGATCTTTCATTATTTGAGAATCAAATAAAGGCCATGCTCTCCCAAAAAAATATACATACATATGTGTGTATTTTTGTGTGTTTTTTAAATTATACATTTTTATAAATTATTTTTGTTTTTTATATAATTACAAATTTGTTTCTTTTATTTATGTTCTTTTTAAGTGATATTTTCTTCTTCTTCTCTTTCTTTGACATTATTATTTTTGAAATAATAATTATAAAAAAATTAGATATAGAAATAATAATAATAATAAAAACATAAAACATTTATGTAAATGGGTGAGGAGTAGAAAAGGGAGGGCGGGGTAAGGGAATAGGGTTGAGGGTAAGGGTTATGTGAGATTTTACCTAAATACAGTTTATTTTTTTTTCTTTAGTTAGTTTGGTTTATTACTCTTCTTCTTCTTTTGTTATCATTCTTGTGTCTTTAAATATACATATATAAATTTGCTGCTTTTTTATCTTTTCCTTTATCATATAATCCATATTCATCTTCTGCTTCCACAATATTATAAATAATTAAACATTATACATATTTACAAACATAAATGCTTCGATTTTTTTGTTTTTGTTCTTGATGCCTCCTAGGTTGAGTGGGGGGTTTATAGCATGAACCTCGCATAACTCCCTCTTGGGTCATGGGTTATGGTGGTTATTCGATCACTCGACGGTTAGGAAGTGAGTAGTGTAGAGGTGGGAGCACCCACCTTGTAATCTTCCTTGTTTGCTTCATTTCCGGTCAAGTGTTCCCCTTCTATATTCGCTTTCTCTTCTATCTTCAATTGGAATCCACACTTCTCTCTCGCTTACTTGGTGTGAGTGTCGGTGTGTTTTTATTTTAATACTCTGGACTGGAATCAAGTAATCGTTTCTCAGGTGTCAAATCTCCTTTTCTTAGTATTCTATTTGCCGCACTGTTGCACTCGTTGTGATGATGCATCGACGATTTCGAGTTATTCGAGCCATTACCTTGCATGCCTCCTCCTCCTCCCCCGCCGCCATTGCTTAGGACCATAACATTGTTACCATTGTTGCCAATCGATGTTATGGGGAACATACTTGAGGTTGAACCAATCTGTTGGCAACGACAGCCCCTCCGAGCAAAGCGACCGTAGCATTTCTCACATGCCGCCACACAGGCTCGCATCGGCCAATAACACCACAAGCAGGGTAATACCAACGACAATGCTCCCAGCCAGCCCCATCTTTGGGTACGTTTATAGGGTCCACACGAACAGGGATTATCCACACAGGGTGTGCCCGAACCATCATCGCAATCCATATCATTGTCCCGCGCACAGTGATAGAACAACGCCTTGGCACAGCACAGACACGATGCATAGTCGATGATGGACTCAGCACTGCACAAACACGTCTTGTTACACACCCACGTCTGGGGCAGCGGCCTGGGACTCTGACACTGTTCACAGCGACAGCGTTCACAACGCGGGCAGGTAATGGGATTCAGTGACGAGGGACCCTCGCTGCCACCAATCACCATGGGACCGGTTAGCGGACTGGCACCATTCACCGCCGATATCATGCCCTGCGATGTGGGTATACCGGTGGCTATGTTGTGCATATCCAGCAGTTCATCGAGGGCCGGCAGCTCCTTGGCGAATTTACAGGAATTTGCATTGCTTGACAAGGCGGGTTGTTTGGTGATCGGTTGATTGATGGGTTGCAGGCCCGTTAAGCCAAAGCCGCCCCTCGCATCCGCTGGACTGGGCGATAATTTGCCCGTCACCGAAGACGACGACGTTGTGGTTGAGCCCTTGTGGGGCTGCTGATGGTGGTGGTGCTGTGAATGTAAAATGCCATCCGTGCCATCGAGGCCCAAGGGCAGTGCTGATGTCGCTGAGCCAGCAGCTGAGGTCGCATGCCTTTGGGTTTGCTGTTGATGATGGTGGTGGTGGACTTGGTGCTGCTGCTGCTGGCGCAATTCGCGTTGCGGCAGCAACAGCAGGTGATGCGTTGTGGTCTGACCATTGTCATGCTCGCCGGCCGGATGTTGGATACGCGTTGCATTCTGCAGCTGTTGGGCCGTACGCAACGGCGTGTCCACATACTCATTGCCGAGTCGTTCGGACTCGGGTCTAGGCTGCGCCAGTGTGACGGTAGATGATGACACCTGCTCTGTAGTATGGAAATGATTAAGGAAATTGTTGTTGAGGTGGTGGTGATTGCCACTAATTGCCGTTAGCAGCGGCACTGCTGCCGAATTGCCCAATACCGGGGAGGTGGCCACGGGCGTTGGCGGCGGTGGTGGTCGACGCCGTGTAAAACTGTTCGCTGCTATAATACCGTTGTTCGTCGTCGCCGTTGACGCCGTTGACGAGACACCACCCACAGAGGTTGTTGATGTATTGGTGGTCGTTGAATTGGAGCTAATTTGGCTACCGTTGCGACTCAAATTGCTGGGTCTTTGGGGTAAATAGGTTAAATGATGGATTTGATAATCGTCGGCTAGGCCTGCTGTGGATGCGATTGCGGATGATGCTGTTGCTACTGCTGCTGATGAGGGTTGCTGGGTTATGACATCAATGTTGCCAATGTGATTGTTGTTGCAATTGACACGATTGTAGCGAATGGGGGGACAGCCAGCAATTACCAAAGCGGAAGTGCCGGATGATGCTGCCGCTACCGCTGCTGATGATGATATGGGAATTGTTGACGACGACAATGTTTGGTTAATACTAATTTGTTGTTGTTGTTGTTGCTGCTGTTGTTGTTGTGCTTGTTGCTGTTGAATCAAGTTATTATTTCGACTTAAATCCGTTTGATGATTTGTACATTGAGGTGTGGTATTCGAAACTTCCGTTTGTCTAACTGTTGTTGTTGCTACTGCTGACTGCTGATTCATCATCTCTGGCTCGGGAGCACGAGGACGATGGATTTTTGGTAACAATTTAGGGGGCCGAGGAGGCGCCAAGGGATCGCCGCCATTTCTGCGATCCATGTAGCGTTCAACTACTCTGTTTTAAGACCTCAATCCCCTCGAAACTTTTGCCGGGGACCATCAGTTTCCCTCATTCTCCTTGGGCACACTGGTACGCCTACCCACACACAGCCAATGCGGTGTAGGGTTATAGTAATTTGTAGTTTTTTTTCTTTGTAAGGTGTGCAAAAGTCTCTTGTTTTTCGCTTAGACGGGTAATGAAATTGAGAAGGTTGTGTTCGGTCCAAATTATTGAAATTCCAAAATGTTTGCTTTCTGCAAAGAAAAGAGAGAAGCGAAATATTAATTATCATATTCTTTAACATATTAAGCAATATAAATTTTAATAAAAAAACTTTGAAGAATAGCTTGGAAATTTATGAGTTCACAATAAATGGCTTTTGTGGTGGCGCCCAACATTTTTTTTGTTTTTGAATTGGATAGAGTTGTGTGTTGTGTTAAGGGGTTTCGTTTCATTGGCCTCAGGGCTATAATATTTCAATAATTAATAATTATTAATATAATCCTCCTTTTAGAAGAACAAAAAAGAAACAAAATTCTAAGGTTGAGGAAATTAATTCAGTTTGTACGACTTTCTTCTATGGATCATCAATATCATTTGCATATAGTTTTTTAATTAAATTTGGTTTTTTCGAATTTATACTGAGATCCGACATCTCTATATATATATATATATAAACAAATAAATAATACTACAAAGGCCAATCACAAGAAGACACTGACTTGTCTGTCATCTAACTTAACGTCATCAATGGCTGTTTGAGTAAAATTTTCTGTGTTTTTTTTTTGTTCGATTCAATACTCTAAAGTGTCAGTCACTTTGTTGGCTAAGCATATACATATGTATGTATATATCATGAACGAGAAACGCTGAAATTTTTTTATTAATGAAATAAGAACAAGAATAAACAAAAAAAAAAAAAGTTTTGCGATCACTTGTTTGGCTGTTTTCATTGAAATCTCTTGAATGGGCGAACAGCTATAGATCGCGTCAAGGCTAGCACGTTAGCCTACAGTCTATTGAAATTCGAATTCTCTGTTTTTTTTTTTCTTATTTTGAAAAAAGATTAACAACACGATGTATAATTTTGTAAATAAAATTCATAAAATAAATTTTAAATATTTTATAAAAAATTAAACTAATAGAATTCTATTTTTTTTATTTTAGGTGAGAAAACATTGGATAATCTTCACATCAAAAATGTATCCCCCAACGGACTAGGTATACTATGGAGAAATCTGAAACCAATATATTAAACGGGATGTCTTTTTTTAATTTTAGATGGAAAAACGTTTGAACTGGAATACCTTAAAAAAACCTCTGAACTGCTGGATATATTGGGCTAAATTGAAATATATTTTGACATATTTGCATTTAAAGTTATACAGAAATCACATCGTAGCCTGAGAGAGGAATCTATAGAAATCTAAAGAAAAATCCTTCCTGAATTAATTTTCATATCGTTCTACCTGAAGATCGTCTTGGCATATTTGCATTTAAAGTTATAAGGAAACGTGTGCAACCTATGAAGCAGCTTTGTGAAACAGTTATGCTCCTGAAGATTCTTAGATATTGAATAGACAGTTTAACCCTTTGTTCATATCCTATTTAGGATAGTTGCATTAAATCTGTGAACAGAAAATTGTTATACGATTACGGAAAAAAATCGGGACTCAAGGGGTTAAAACATGTGTAAAATAAGGATTAATAGTCTTTATTTCGAACAAATAATTCCACTAGGGCAGAAGTAATATTATTCCATAAAGTTGACACCTCCGCAGAAAATCAGGATTAAGTAAGTAAAAAATAGGTAAAATATTGTTTGTATTTATTTTTAGTTCATTCCCAGGTGATATTTTTAGAGGATATAGAGGTATACATATTTGCGTTTAAAAATGATATATTAAATTGTAAGTTTAAGAAGTGTTATGGGCGGAATTTTCTCCAAAAGAAAAACAAGAATTATAAGACCTACACCTCTTTTATAAGAAGACCTCCAATTCTTTTATATAAAGACCTCCAGCTAGGGATAAGTAAATCGACTTTCGACTAATCCTAAAAGTCTCGACTTTTTCTATAGAAAATCGTAAAATCGACTTTTCAAGATCGCCTTTCGATTTTCTTCATAAATATTTGGTTTTTCATCACAAAGCTCAAATTGACCAAAAATTCCACTTTCCGAACTTTACTTTATCTGTTCACAATAATTCATATAAAAAATCAAATTTTTAGTCGATTTTACAGAAGTCAGTAAAAGTCGAAAATCGATTTTTAACATTTTTGACAATATCGAAAGATCAAAAAGTCGACTTTTTAGTCAAAGGCAAAAATCGAAAAGTCTAAAAATCGACTTTTTGGTCAGAGGCAAAATCGAAAAGTCTTAAAGTCGACGTTTGCGTTCCACTGCGTGTCCCTACCTCCAGCTCTTCTATAAAAAATCTACAGCTCTTCTATAAGAATACCTCCAGCTCTTCAAGTCCTCCAGCTCCAGCTGTTTTAAAATTTTAAAACCACAAGACCTCATCAATTCTCTTAGCGTTTTGCTTTACTAAACACAAAGAACCTTTCTTCCCCAACTTTGTTAGCTCCACAAGGCCAAGCCTAGGTACTACTAGAAAAATACTCGGTTTCTCAAAACTATGTAGAAGTTCGTGTGGTGACCTGATATGTAATTTTGCATAATAATTCCACTGTTATGCATCTTCACTTTATGAAGAATCAAAATTTGTTTTTAATCCATTTCGATAAATCCGTTTTTGTTCCTTTGAATAAACTTCCTTGGATTCCAAACAAAATATTTTTCACAGGTTGTAAATCATATTTTTCTTATTTTTTATTAATCACACCGAACATTATTTTACAGTTTTTATTTTGGTTTTCACAATTCATTGTAGTTTTTAAGGCTTTCTGTTGAAACATTTCTAATAAAAAATTGGGTTTTCTGCTCACATTTTTTTTCAAGTGAAAATTATATTTAAATAATTTTTTTTGTCAAAAGTATGAGATTTTTTTATTAATTTCTCTTGGATATATAAAAATTCCAAAGAAATAGTTCTTTATTCAGTCCCTACCAGCCATACTTTTTTTCAATTGAAAAATTTGTTCCTAGTTTTTATTTGTTTTTATTTTATTTTACATTTTTTTATTTTTTTAATATATTATTTTTTTATTCTTAGAAGGTTGAATTTTTATGTTTTATAAACTCTTTAATTTTTGTTTATTTTTTTTTCCTTATTCAGTCTAGTTTTAATTATTATTATTTTTTTTACAATTTTTTTTAATATTTTTTTTTTAATTTTTAAAAGGTTGAATTTTTAAGTTTTATAAATTTTTTTAATTTTTGTTTATTTTTTTTCATAATTGTCAGGCTTAATCAAGGTTTTTTTAACGATTTTTGAATTATTTTTATCCTCCTCTCTAATCCAAGTCGATCATTTATTATTGAAATTTATCCATTTTGTTCGATTTTAAACACTTGTCACATTATGTTCTATAGAATTTCATTAAACACTTTTAATACTTCGAAGAGGAGAATAATATTTCCGTTTTTTTGGTTTTTTATACCTTTTCAAAAATAAATCCTTTTTTTCTTTGATTTACAATCATTTGTTTGCCACTTGTCACATTTAATTTGCGTTAGATTATGAGATTTCCTCTTAACACGGTACTACTTTTTGATTTAATCTCCCTCTCTCACACCACACGCATTCAAATAGAGTAGAGTACTCATTGTTGTATTTACTTACAATGCAGATGAATTGTCGAAAAGTAATCGATTAAAAATTGTTGCTGTTGTGATTTTTCGCGTTATTTATGTTTCTAAAATTTGATCAATGGATTTTTTTTTAAGAATTCTCTGCTTCTTATTCTTCTTCTTGTTGTTGAACAAAAATATTAAACTTTGAAAAAGAAAAAAACAACACCCGAAGCCGAATAAAATTGTAATAGAAAACGAAATAAAACGTAACGAGAAAAGAAACTACTAAATGAACGGACGAACGAACAGCAGCTGATGTTGATGCGTTGTGTGTGTTGCGTTGCGTTGGATGTTGTCTCCACTGCAGGTGTTTAGGTGTTTTACTAAGTCGTTGTGTGTCGTGTAGAAAAAAACGAGGCTCATTTTCATAGTTTCATTACAGCGCCGCTGGCAGAGGCAGAGGCGATGGCAGCAGAAGAGAGCCAACATAGCCAGCCACAGAGTTGTTGAATTGGTTGAGAGAGAGTATGTGCGGCATTACCCTGAAGGAAATGTGGGGTGTTGTATCGCCTTTGTCTACGTGTGTGTGTTCCATATTTGGTGTGTGACATATCATGTAATAAGAAGAAGCATTTGTTATGTTAACAACCAACTGAGCATGGTTGCTTCTTCTTTTTTTCTTTAATTATAAATATGTTGGCGGCAATAGACAGATATTTTGTTAAAAACGCGAGTTTAAAGTTATTAATGGTAATAATTAAATTAATTAATTAATTGGTGAAAAATTTTTGAGCAAAAGAAATTATAAAAAATTTACAAGTGACATATGTGACCTTTAGTCTATATATACAAACTATTGACTTACTCTGACCGTGTCCACATATGCGACGCTGTGTCTATATCTAAAAACTACTGACTTACTACTGACCAAGTCACTAGTTCATTTCCAATGACAAGCACATGTTAAATGTCAATAGTAAAATGCATTGTGTTGGGTATAGTCGGTCAACAGTATTGGTGACGATGTCAATAGTAAGTCAATACTGATTTACTGTAGACATTTCCTACAGGGTAGTTAATGAGCGAGTGCGTGCGTGTGTGTGTTTTGTTGGTGTGTGACTGTTGTATGTTTGCTCTATTCTGCTGTTTCTTCTTCTTCTTATAGAGCTTCCTTTTATTGTTATCATTAGCATTGTTGTTGTTGTTGTTCTTGGATTTTCTTTACTTTTATGTGAAAGTCTGATGTTCAACCATAGATACATATGGATGGCTGGCTGGTTGACTAGCTGTTTGGTTTGTTTGTTGGCTCATTCATTTACACACACACACGGGCGTACACACAGCCAGCCAAGTGGCACACGGATACAAAACACGTTAAGTATGCTGG